CCGACGTTGCTTGCGAGGGGCAACGAGTGTCGCGCGAATGTTGAGACGACGTGGCCGACAGATGCTGGACCGAGCAACCCCTTATTCTCTTGTACGATGACTTTTATCAATCGATCGTACGCGAAAAATCGGAAAATTTAATTATTACGTATACGATTAAGAGAGAAAAAAGATGTGAAAATTAATCCTCTTTTTTATCTTCTTTAGAAGAAGAATATCGAGAGGAGAACATTTTTATATTACGAAGAAGAATCTCAAAGTTCTATGCTAAAATTCGAGCAACCCCTTATTCTCTTGTACGATGACTTTTATCAATCGATCGTACGCGAAAAATCGGAAAATTTAATTATTACGTATACGATTAAGAGAGAAAAAAGATGTGAAAATTAATCCTCTTTTTTATCTTCTTTAGAAGAAGAATATCGAGAGGAGAACATTTTTATATTACGAAGAAGAATCTCAAAGTTCTATGCTAAAATTCGAGCAACCCCTTATTCTCTTGTACAATGACTTTTATCAATCGATCGTACGCGAAAAATCGGAAAATTTAATTATTACGTATACGATTAAGAGAGAAAAAAGATGTGAAAATTAATCCTCTTTTTTATCTTCTTTAGAAGAAGAATATCGAGAGGAGAACATTTTTATATTACGAAGAAGAATCTCAAAGTTCTATGCTAAAATTCGAGCAACCCCTTATTCTCTTGTACGATGACTTTTATCAATCGATCGTACGCGAAAAATCGGAAAATTTAATTATTACGTATACGATTAAGAGAGAAAAAAGATGTGAAAATTAATCCCCTTTTTTATTTTCTTTAGAAGAAGAATATCGAGAGGAGAACATTTTTATATTACGAAGAAGAATCTCAAAGTTCTATGCTAAAATTCAAGCATTTGCGCGAATGTCGAGACGTGGCAGACAGATGCTGGACCGAGCAACCTCTTATTCCTCGATATTCACTCGGTTCCTCTCTTGCATTTAATCGGAAAATTAAATATGTATTGTATAAGATAGGCGAAAATGAAATCTGTTTTTTCTTTACTAGAAGAATATCGTGACGAAAAGATAAATTTTTTTTATATCGCGTGTAAAATGAGAAACGGATTTTTCTCGCAGATCTTCCGAGGAAGAATCTCCAAGTTTTATGCTAAAATTCAAGCACTTTCGCGGGAACGTAGAGTTAATTATATGTTACGTATTTCTTGGAGCGTCTCTCTCCAAAACGTATCGCCGGGTCGGATTTTAAGTTTCCGTGAACGTGGCGAGTGAGCTACCGAGGCGTGTCTCCGTTTCCTCGAGGTTGTGGCCGGATTTGCGAGGTTTTGCATTTACCCGCGAAATCGTAGAGGGTAAACGCGAGTTGCACCAACAATACGCACTTGTCGACATCGAAAAAAAAAAAAAAAAATACTTTCATTATATTTCCTCTTTACGAGCAGACGTTCAATCAAAAGTACAAATATGCGAAATTGCGTTCCTGTCTCATTATTTAACTTTATAATACCGAGATTTATCTCTTGAAAGGTGTCTCTTGATTTTTTGTCTGAAAATGTTGCTCTCAGCGAAACTGCTTTTCGCACTCGCGTCCTGAAATTCACGCGTCTATGCGTGCGCGGTCAACGAGGTGCATTATCATCATCGTACAGGGACGCGCGCGCACGCGTGCATATAAATAACCGCATACGGGCCGCGAGTGCGTGCACGTGTACTGGTGGTCGTTCACGTGCGGGGAACAATGTGCGTGGTTTTCACATGTGCGTGCCCACGTATATGTATAGCGGGGATATATAATGAGATACGAGCGGGTAATTAATCGAAGGAGCACTGTAAGAAATCTTTTCGGGGTCTCTCGTTATTTTTTTTCTTCTCCTGCGTCGTAATTAGACGGTTAAATCGTTCGTCACTTACCCGAATATATAAGCTTCAAATATAAAGAATTTTCTTTAATTATCGCATATTATATTAACGAAACGAATATTTTTATTATTATTTTATTATTTTATTTTCCCTCTTTTTAATAAGTTTTCGAGATACTCCATTCTCTTGGCATTTAAATGAAGTGTCTTATTGACAGGGTTGGGTAAGTTAATGATTTTTTAAAACTAAGTTAAGTTAAAGTTAGTTGTTTATAAAATTATAATTTAGTTAAGTTAAAAGTTTCATGAACAAAAAATTAAATTAACTAAAATTAAATCAAAAGTTTATTTTTATAAGTATTACTTATATTAAATTCGAATTTTGTTTGTTAATTCTTTTATAAATTAAATATATATTATTAATATATTTTATAAATTAAATATATAATATTAAATATATAACAAAGAAATTTTGATTTTTATATAGAAATATATTTTTTGGTAATTACAATTGATGATACAATGACAAATAAACTGAAAAATAAGTTTAAGGTGAAAAACAATTTTACTTAAAACTTTTAACTAATTAACTAGTTATTACCTAACCCTGCTTACTGATGATTCGAGATTCTTATTGATCGTTGGATGAATGAATCCGAGAGGAGCAAACAATCCGTTACTACGCGTATAATCGCAATAGATACGAAGAGTGTCGACGAAGAGGATGTGCGAAAGGAAGCCGCAGCCACGGTGCCGTGGGCATATTTCCCATCTTACGAAAGAATGAGAGAGAATGCGAATCTCTCTCTTATTCCCGCACGAATATAATACTATACGAATGCACGAATGAATAAAATGTCTGCGTGATACGCACACGCGCAACGAAGGAACGCTGCGTGGAAACCGCGGCGGCGTGACAAAACCTCTTTTCGTCGAGGTAATCGCACTTAGGTGCCGCGTCTGTTTGATTTGACTCTCACGCGACCGCGTATTTACTCTCGACGTTACTTAGATAGCTAGACGTAAGCACCTAGCTATTTTACGCCCCGCGAAAAGTACCTCGAGACCGCGAGGAGGATCCCAATGATTTGCACTTTACGTCCCAGGCGTTTGACGTTTCTTATTTTTATTCTCGCTTAACCGCGGGAACAATGAATGATGTCGATAAAGCGACATTATTTTATTACGTCGAGACCATTTGCTCCCCTTGGAATCAGGAAAAAATTCAACATATGCTCTCCATTATTTTTATCTGTTTTATTTATTTATTATATTATTTAATTTATTTAATATAAAAAAATAAAATACAATTTTTCAAGAAACAAAAAGATTAATTGTGCCTCCTTCTGGAAAAAATCCAGAAGGTTGAGACCATTTGCTCCCCTTGGAATCAGGAAAAAATTCAACATATGCTCTCCTTTATTTTTATCTGTTTTATTTATTTATTATATTATTTAATTTATTTAATATAAAAAAATAAAAAAAATAAAATACAATTTTTCAAGAAACAAAAAGATTAATTGTGCCTCCTTCTGGAAAAAATCCAGAAGGTTGAGACCATTTGCTCCCCTTGGAATCAGGAAAAAATTCAACATATGCTCTCCTTTATTTTTATCTGTTTTATTTATTTATTATATTATTTAATTTATTTAATATAAAAAAATATTAAAAAAAATAAAATACAATTTTTCAAGAAACAAAAAGATTAATTATGCCTCCTTCTGGAAAAAATCCTGCGGACACCCATGATTGAAGAGACTTTATTATACATATTTTTCTTTTCCTTCGCGCGCGACTCTCGCTTAATAATATTTTTGCGAGCGTAAAATATCGATCGCGAATTATCTCTGTTGCGTATATTTTTTTTCCCGGTAAGTAACGACGTAAAGAAACAAAGTGGCAGTAGTTCTTATCCGGTCTGTTATAACGGGCACTGCGCTCGTACTTTGCAAGGGTGCATAATATATCGAGCGCACCTTGCGCTGATATACCGCAACCTGTTGGTTCTTCCACGCGAAATTCGAGTTGTCGATGATGGGGTCGCGCAGAATACGAGTCATTTATAGCGGCACAAAGCGAAATGGGGTGAGAAATAATATGGACGAGGAGGTCGTCGATATGATCGGACATGTATATATATTATCTAGCGGCATTATACAATAAATTATTTTTTTTTTCGCAACTCTATACGCCATTAATTTTTACGCCATTTATCAGAGGAAATAAAAACTGTCGGAATTCTCGCGAGTATCCGTTCTTGTATCGATCGGAGACTTCGATTTCACCTCGTCAACTCGATACAGATCCAATTCCCTCTGGCTATAACGACGTTTCTTTTCGCGTAAGTCGATTCGGGGTCTCTCCTTCGCGCGAATTAAATTTCGTCCCAGAAGAAAAGTATTAGCAGTGAAGCTCTCTAAGGATTGTCCTTCTTTTTTTATATGCTCTCTCCTATAAAATCGTTAATTTGATCGTTGTTGAAAAAAATTTTTTTTTTCGGGACTACATTAATATAAATCATTGCTATATCATTCCTGAAAGAGCCCGCATGGCCAAATTGAACGAGACGTGTTGGGCACACAATTTTGAACGAATTAAAAATTGGACCGATTGAAGGTATATTATATGGGTACCTGTATGTAAAATTCTTTTGCCACGAATATCACTTTTATTGTCATTATATAATTTGTAGCTCTCGCGTCGATCTCGGTCTGCATCGTCATGGGATGAGAGATGCATCTCGAGTCTCATGGAAATACGATCTTTCTTTGGATATGCTCCGAGTCGCGAGACCAAAAGCAACCGTGATTATCACTGCGAACTCTCACGAATCGACTACTATTATTTACTACTCATTTATATATCAAAATAATTTGAAAACTAAATATTGAAAAATATACCAAGCTAAAGTATCAAATCGTAATAAAGTTAAAATACGACATCCGATTAGACACGCTCCTGAAATAGATTTTCAATGAAATTGCCACGTTGAATTAATGAAATGGGATTCTTTCGGCGAAGGATGATAATTGAAAATATATATCGATGTTGACAATCCTCTGTCTGAAGGTCGAGAAACGAACGGAGAGAGAAAACGAAGTCGAAGTCTCTCTCGTCCAATCGACGATCACTTCGTATATATCTAACCCCAGGCGGCGATGTGCGGCCGGTCTCGTCGGGGTGGCCGGGTGCATCGCGGCGGCCAGGTAAGGGGCAGCTGTCCACCAGGTGCCAGTCACCCCTCCATGTGTTACCACCACCTTGAAGCCGGTGGGGATCAGCGCGGTATCATTGGACGGCGGCTCGCGCGCGTTGCGGCAATACTCTCGCGCTCCGCGACAGAAAACAGTCAGTCGTCCCAGGGCGCTCGACGGGAGACGCAGGCGATTCGCCATTCACGCGCTCACTCGTCCCCGTAACACGCGGACCTCTATGAAGTCTCTCCTCTCTCCGTTTCTCGGATTAAAGTGATCCAACCGGTCAGTTATTCTCGTCGAATATTATAAGTCGATTTTTTTCATTTTCCGAGAAACCTCACGTAAGCTTTTTTTCACGATCGTTCGAGAGCACAGTGTGGTGTGAAGGAATTAACTTTGTCTTCACGATCAGTGATCCGAAAGTGCGATCAGTGAGTTAACGTCCGTGATTTGTCCTTCTATTTTTCTCTTTTTTTTCCACGTCTCCGTACACCTCGCCGCGGATTTTCGCATCCGTCTCTTTCTCTCTCTGTGTCTCTCTCTCTCTCTCTCTCGGGAGCAGCACGGCTACATTTATGGGGGTGTCCGGAGAGTGCGTGGTCAAGGGCAGCAAAAGTAGCCTCCCTTGTCACTGCTGCAGCCACGTCGGCAGTTCCGGCGCGAGCGTGCAACAGCAGAATCAACAGCAGCAGCAACAACAACAACAGCAACAACAACAATCCTGCGAGCCGTATCATCACCACCATCATCAGCACCATCATCATCACCATCATCATCATCATCACGGCAAGAACGCACCGACGAGCGCGTCGCCGCAGCACAACAACAGCGGCGACAATAACATCCTCGCACCTTTGCGCAGCAAGATGAAAGTGCTCAAGAAGCTCAAGCGCAAGATGGGTCTAGGTGAGCCACACCTCCATCTCTCCCTTATTGTCTCTGACGTTTTCCGGTCACCGCACGGTTGACCATACGATTACCGATCGATCGATCACGATGTTCCACGAGTCGGCCGATTTTGTTGGTCAGTGACATTCGGGAACGAAAAATATAGTCAGCTGATTCCACGCGGACCTGTATATTCATTTTCGATTTCTCGATTTTTGTATACCTCATATATATTTTTTTTTTGTCCATCTGCGAACTTTAATTTTTAGAATGGAATCGAGGAAATATCGACTCCCCCGAATCCATTAAATGTGAAATATTAGCTAATATACTATAGTATAATGGATCACCCTGTATATCGCGCAAATTCTTGCCAGAGTGATCTGCATTCAAATCGACGTTGTAAAATTGAATTCATCGATCGCTCCGCTGAATATTGCGAATAGAATGGAGCGACGAGCTCTCATCGTCGAGGAACGAATCTCTAAACTCTAGAACGGCGATACAACGAGCGAGAAACAATTTTGGCTTTTATTTCCTGCGGTCCATCGGCGGTTTATCGCACGCCGCAAGGCCGATAATTGTTGACGACGCATCTACTATCCTTAACTTTTCGCTATATTTCGAGAAAAAGTCAAACTATCAGTTTTCTAGCATTATTTAAAAAGATACTTGTGCACAGCGAGCAGCTTTTATTAATAGAATTTTTTCGTCCCTTTTTTTTCAATATTTATTCAAATTAAATTAAAATTGTATCCATGAAATTCTTATATAAAAAAAATAATTAAATAACAATCTCTCATTGCGATTTTTTAAAGAAAAGCATAAACTAAATATTAAAGGATAAATAAAGGGCTAGGAGCCAACGCCAAAATAAACCGAGTGACATTGTAAGTAGAAAAGATGTCGACTCTACCAAAAAATAAAAAGAACCATGCCACCAAGTTGTCAAAAATTGTTGTTATTAATGTGAGGTCAAATTAAAATTAAAACTGCATAAACTAATTGAAATAATGATTGATATTCCATAATCTGCGGTTGATTAAAGCTGCGAGACAGAAATAGGTTGAAAAGCACTGGCCCTTAAAGGGCGCCATTTCCTCCCGGTTGTCCTGATTTCAGAGTCGTATTATCCCGCTCATTTCCATTGGCATTTGGTAAAAGCTCATTTCGAGGGGAACCAGGCTTTGTAGCCTGGTCTATATACCGCTGACCGACTTTTCCTTCAATGGTTGATCCGTTGGATTTCGCGAGGGAGTCGGAAACAAGTGGATATCGTTTCTCATTGGCTTGCTCCTCTGCCTCGCGGCATTTTCATTAGATATCCTTCCTGATCCTCCCTTTCGCGAGCATTGTCGACCACAATGTTTTCGCAAAGTAACTGATTTTTGTCCTCGATATCCATCGCATCGTGTATCTTCATCTCTCACGTCGTCTTATCACGGCGAATTTCGAGTGCAATGATGACTGATTGTGAGATAAGATGTAAAATTAAATAAATTGCGGAAAATTGGAATTCTATTTAAAAACACTAAGCGAAACAATACGCTTAACAATGATACATAATTATAGTACAGTCTAATATTAATGTTTATAACATAATATATGATAATTTGGGAAAAACTGCGTGTGATACTTTTCTACGCAATATGATTCCACGAAAAGGTTTTCGTTTGAATTTATGTTCTCATTGAATTACATTCCGCTGTAATCTGATGACCCAGTTCTTGAAAAACTATTTCCCAATAGCAAATAGCCATATGTAAACAAGATTTGTGGCACTCAGTTCTTTATTAGAAGACAAAGCGTCGCTTGTTACCGATTGAAACCGAGGCTAGGCTTTTCCTTGCGCGATGAATTTTACGCGTTAATGATTTTTCTCTGCCGGGAGGTTTCAAGAGACCAACGCTAAGCGAACCCTTTGTGGGAGGGCTTTGAACCGTTAAAGATTTGTGAAGGGGGCACAGATACATTGTTTTTATGTTAGAGATAACTAATTAATTAAGTTCTATTTTATATCAAATTATTTCGTGATATATATGTTTAATCATTTTTTAAAAAGAAGAATATTTGCAACTGCGGTTCCACTTTTTATCGAGTAATAATATTAATGAAATAAATAATACAGTGATAATATTAATTATATTTATTATTAAGTAAATATATTAATTAAACAATGTAAAGCTACAATGTTTTGCAACCGCATCTGGATTCGAGAAAATACCTTTTACTTCTTTTTCTTTTTTTTTTTTTTACGAGCGAAGCAAACTGGAGCGAACAGCTGACGCTGCCGTCTTTTGAAATTACTTCGTTTCCCTTTGCGTGCAAAACTCGGTTCAGCTGATAGGAATATTTAAAAATATACCAAGTATTTCATTTTTCATGTATATATGTATTCTGCATCGCGGAATACGAGAATCTGGCACATTGAAAGGAAGCAAAAAGAAAAAAAGGAATATTCCCAATATACAAACTTGAGCACTTTGTATGTTTCCTGCTGCGATTATCGTCGCGGAATAAGCGAAACGAAGAAAGTACATAACTTGTCGCGATGCTCCTGGAATACCACTCTCTTTACTCCTCTTTGCTTCTCCTCTTTTTCCCATCTTTTTGCGGCTTGGTGAATCATTCGCTTCTCGGTTGCAGAGATTCTCAGCCTCTTTACTTTCTCATCCTCATCTCTGTGATTCTTTTTTCCTCTCTTTGCGGCCGCAGCCGCGTTATTGCACTTGTTTCTCTCTCCGCACATCTTTTGTAACCAGTTTTTTTTTTTACAACTTCATTTCGTATCTTTCTATTGTATCCGTAATCAGAATATTGCATTATTTGACTGTCGATAAAATACGATAAAAGATTAATTTCCCAAAATAGCGTCTGAATAATTTTGGAAAGCAACAGATGTTATGACTGGGTTAAAATTGATTTATTCGTCTGTGGAACGATCTCTTTCTTCCTCTCGCGCGATCTGAGTCACCGAAAGCGATCGATGACGCATTAAGTAGCTAACAGTGACGAAACGTGGTTGCAATGTAAGTTGCATAATGTTGTGTCCGGTCGATGCAACAATGCGCTACCTGCATCAATGCGATTCAATGTCAACAGTCTCGTAAATTTCACTTTGCCGCTCTCCATGCGAGCTTCCGAATTTAATTATTCATATATCTTTTAATCTACAAACATATAAATTTGTAAAAATGAATTCTCTCCCACCTAATACTGTATTTAAAGCTCGATAAGGGAATATTGATTGAAATTTAATATATATTGCTTTCAAAATGCAACAATTAAATCACTTGTATATAAATTTTTTAAAATTAATTCTCATTGACCTAATATTGTATTTAAAGCTCAGTAAGAGAATATTGATTGAAATTTAATATACATCGCTTTCAAAATGCAACAATTAAATTTCTTGTAATGAAATGTGATTTGCCGATTAAATTTAAACAATCAAATTGAAATTGAAATAAATTTGTAGAAAGAGCTGATGCAAATTTTATTAAAGCAATTACTCTCAATCTCGACGGTGTATCTCTCTCCTCTCTGGGATTTCGCTAATCATGCGCTTGGAAATGAAATTTCTTGCGGTCTTCGTACGTCTCCCTCGCAAGAGTCGTTCACGTCTTCTGAAGGAAGATTCAACCTACCGAAGGGCGATCACTGACCGTCCTCACTGACTCGGCAATCTCGCACACCCATCCACCCACTTTCCGCTTCGCGTGTGACGTCAGAGAGAGAGAGAGAGAGAGCCGCGGAGACGAAACCCGTCTTTGTTCCCACAAGCGTTTCGCGAACCGGTTTGCGGTTCCGCGTAGTATTCCCGGTCAGCTGGTCGGACCGTTTAATCAAGGAATTCTCCGCCTATTTTAAGGGTTCGGCGTCCATCCTCCAGGACAGTGCCTCCTCCAAACAGTCATCCTTTTCGAGGAGCGTTCATTCATCCTTATAATGCGACAGCCAGAGAATGACGTCCGTAAATTTTCGAGACGAGTTCATTCACTTTGATATATGACGGAACAGAGAATAAGTAAATTAAGAATTTATCGGCTCGTGTTTGCGATAAGCGCGTTGGAATTTGTGCTTACGTTAGTGTAGTTATCGCGCGTTTATCTCGGCAGGATTTCCGTTTAAATATAGATATAAATACCGCGCAGGACGATAATCATTTTACTAAATAATCATTTTACACTCGAGTCGATTGAAACCGATGTGGATTTTCTAAATATCGTTTATTTGCCGGACGAGAGTCTACTAGATAAAATACTGTTGGTTTATGTAGACGTTCTGTAACTAAGAATATAGCGATCGTCGTTTTATTCCGGTCTTCGATAATTTTCTTGCAATTAGATGACCGGTTCGTGACACTCTCCGGAAAGAATTCCGCGAGGTGTCGGCCGCAATTTCCGTCTGGCGGAAACTGTGAACGGAAACGTGTGGATTCGGAAACGGAAGTCTTCGACCGACAACACACAATACTCGAGAGCTTTGCTTTCCTGGCTCGAGTTTTCCTTCTTGTTGTAGCTTATCCACAACAATGACATCGCATAACGGTAAATATAATCGTGTATTCTGCGTATCGTACATATATATATATATATACATTCTATACGTCTTTCATATCGTTTATATTTGTATTCTCCACGTCTCGTCCTTGTCTTCGACAACAATCGCGTATACATTAAGCGGAACGAGATATCCGCTATTTTCCGCGCGAGGCCTCGAGCGTTCGTGAAGGGATCATCATATATATCTCGCGATACACCGACGCGAAAGTGGAACTTTACGGAAGCAAGGTGCGTGAACACCCCGTATACGCGCACCCAGGTTCGTACCTACCGGAAGTAGCTACCTACGTGGACTTAATGGCACGGCCTCGTAAGCAAAGTCCATCGCCACGTGCTCGACTGCGTGAAAATTCGTTGAACCCAGGCTGCCGTGACGAGGTGCTCTTCAGGATGGAGATATAGCGGAATATAGAATTTTTTCCAAATTTTTCTTTCATAAGTTCACAATTTTCA